ATACCCCGATGGAGCTATATCTTCCTACACTTTGTATGTGCACTCATGCTTGGTTATACTCCCGACAGGTGTCCTCCACATCAATGTGTTGTTTGATCGTCTTTCTTTATCTTTGCGCCCACAGTCAACACATCAAACGTTGCGAGAGGGGCATGCATTTCCTGTCATTTCCTAAATCCAAACCGAGGATCATTCAACGAAAGTCTTGGATTGGGTGAAACCTCCTGCGCTGACAGAGGGGGTCCCCTCCCTGGCCTTGAATGGGGGCTGCAGAGGTCACAAATACCGCCGCAGGCCCGGTTGGGCACCGGCTTTGAGGGGGAGCCAGGGGAGCATCCGAAGGTGGCTGGGCCAGCGAGAGCCGGATAAAGCGAGGCATGCTGTCAAGAATTTCGCACCCAACTGCGCTTACGAGGTCTCCGGAGCGAAATATGTTTTGGTCACGTTCGACTGCATTGAAATGTATCACAAATTCCAAGACGTTAGATACAATCAATCGCAATAATAGAGGCTGGCGACGAAATATTAAAACAAGAGAAAACAAAGACATGCCCCCCCCCCTCTAGTCTATGTCTTTGTCAGGAAATTAAACACTTTTCGCGTTTAAGGGGCTTCGCTTGCCACCCGGATGAGTTTATGTGCGCAAGTGTAGCCCCACACGTCGCCATACTGTATGATCCCGTATCTTTAGGCTTTGGCCGCGGAGGAGGTAAAACGACGGAGTATCTACGACAGAGAGAGTTTTTTTCTCACTAAATAAATCCTGGTCTAGGATGAAAGCGACGCGCTGCAAAGCTCGTTTGTTAGTAAACCATAATCGACTTCGTAAGTCGCGAGGGAAGGGATTGCTGTACCCTTCTCGCGATAAAAATACCTCAGGCATGAACCGCAGGAGGGGGTCCAACCCCCCCCTCCTTTGTGACCCCGGTTGGGTCGTCTAGCTAGTACAGTAGGGGGCCCTCTATAGTGCCGGCATGTGTTCAGAGAGCAAAGCGGCACTATACCGGGCACCGGCACTATTCAGAGTACAGAAAGACTTGATATTCCGGTGTGTGCGAGCCGAAAACACCGGCACTATACCGGCAACCGGCAATATTCAACTGGCACTATATCGGGCCACCCACTGTAGAAGTGGAGGATAGAGGCCAGAGGGGCAGACGACAGAGTCCGATGATGGGAGAAAAACAACAACAACAAACACTCGCATGTAAAAATCCTAGCGAAAAAAGCATCCTCCCTACCGTCTGAAAAAAGTCGGCGACCCTACGTTGGTGGTCCTGAGGATTACTTCCCGCTAGGTTTCAGTGCTAGAGAGTCTTATAAGGTCCTGTCTCAGCCAGGTATATGGACAAGCTTTTACCGGGGTGGCTGAGTGGTCTACCTCCTTAACAGGTCCCCCCGGATACTACAGCGAGAACGCCCGCAACGATCTACACCAAGTGTGAACACGCCTGCCTCTGCCTATCTATGTTTTTGCGAACAGGACCCCACGTTGTGCAATAACAGCACTGCTCGGAGAGGAGTTCTGCCGGCCGGTCCCAGTTTGTTGCTTTTCCGCCTGCTACCAACAACATGTTTTGTGTCAATGAAGAAAGTTGATGACGAAACAAAACGAAATGGCGGATTACTATGATCTACCGTAACCATTGGTCGGAAGGCATCGACGAGAGGCCACCAACCGTCGGGCCTCTCGAACCTCGGAGAAGCGTCGTCGCCGAGGGCGTCAATCAGTAACGGACTGTACATCCACCAGTAGGTCTGCGCCCCGGGTGCGTTTGTAGCGATGTAGGACTCCCACGTCAACACGCCATCGCGAAACTCGGGCACCCATTCCCGGCGATTCCGGCTCCGGTCGCCGCCGCCTGCGCCCCCCGCGAAGAAAGTGACGGCGACGCAAACGACCTGGAGCATACCCTCGGCTCGGTCAGGCGTCGTGCCTGGCCCGGGAGGGACCCACGTCGCACTGCTTATCTGCGAAACAGAATCACCCCGCCGCGTCGCGTATGGTCCGGGGGCGTCTCCCGTCCACTTGCCTGTCTCCGAAGCAGTATCACCCCGGCGTGGGTGGAGTACCCGGCGCCCCCACCTGTGTGGGGAACACCAGTGGAGCGAAAGACGCGGGGAAAGAGACGTTACCCGTGGTTTGCAACACGGACGAAGCAGTGGCGACGGAATCCGTCGGTGAAAGTCACGAAACTGCCGGCGTTCGAAGGCAGCGGGGAGAGGAGAAAGGAAATACAAAAAAAGGATAACAGGGCATGCGGCACCAAAGAGAGGGTGGAGAGCTGCACAGTCTAGAATATGTGTGTTTCCTGGCGAATCAACATGCGTAGTAGACCCTGCTGCACTCAGCAAGTTCGACCCTCGCCAAGCTACCGCATACTCAAGGGTTGGTCCTGTCGCTAAGCAATCGGAAACGATGGACGCAGCTCTTGAACGAAGTCATGGAGCATGGGAAGAAGAGAGATGATGACTTTGTGAGGAGCAAGCTAGAGAAATAGCAGTGACGAGCTGTCTCTTGTTTGTTCCTCGATTGTTCAACAAAGTACTCAACTCTCTTCTTCCCATGCTCCATGACTTCGTTCAAGACCCAATCCATATCCAACCTAATCTCTTCCTTGAGTTCGTTTAAGATTTCAGTCTTATAATGATTTGCCTTTAGTCTTGCTCCTGGTAACCAAACCATCATAAATGTGTCGGCTTGTTGTCGCAAAAGACGGAATGATCTCGTCACATGTAATCATTCGCTGTACCCACGTCATCTTATGGAAGGTATTTAGACTGACCTATGTACAAGTGTATAGCGAATACTACAATTTCTGGTGCTCCGAGTTGGCGGATGACTGGCTACTTGCCGTATTCCTCAGAAGTACCAGGTACCGTTTCTGACTACATGTACATACTGCAGTTCGACCCTCCTCCTTCTCGTCAACAAGATTCAAAGCAGGGCTTGGCCCATCTGCAATCAGTTGTTCTTCGTCGCTGGAGATGAATCCAGATCCCGCCTCTGACATTTCCACGTCCATATTATTAGTAGTTGGGTGATCTTGTCAGGTAGTTTTGCCTTGTTCGTTGTGCTCGTCCAGGTTGTCCTGTCTTGTTTGTTGTTCTTGTCCAGATTGCCCTGTCTTGTTCGCTGTTCTTGTCTAGGTTGTCCTCGTCAGTGATGTCTCGAGTCACCGAGTCACCGTACCACCGACCATCTCCCATGTTATCGGTGTACATCTGAAACCGTCACATCTGCAGTTCCTCCGCACGAAATCTCCTGGTCGGAGATCCTCCATGTTCTTGAACGGACTTGAACCATCGTTCTCCATCGTTCTCCACTCTCAACGAGACTTTTTTGTGTTGTAACCGATTTTTTTTGTCGTCCTCGGACGGAGTTGTACCGCCGAGTCCGCCGACCCGACGGCACGAGGCCGCAAAAGGACGAGTGCATTGTCATACTAACCCTGAACCCCAGCCAGAAGCTACGTTGCCCATTGCCTTACCTGAAGGGAACGCGCGAGATTCTCTGGTACCCCTCTCTTGAACCCGCAGCACTTGTGTGGCAACGTTATACCGACGACGTGCGACGTCGAAATCATGGCAGGTGACGGGTTTGTGGTGATCGTGGCATTGGAGCCTAGGCCATTGCCAAGCCTTGGTCTCGATGAGCGCTTCACTCGGATCGACTATACAGCCAAGTGAGCTGACTGCCCCCCGCTGTTTGTGATTTACCTCGTATTCATGACGTAACTACTGTGTCTAGTCTACATGTAGACTCTTTTCATCTGTCATGTGTCGGGGTCGCGTGAGCGGGACACACGGGCGGTGACAGTCCCTTAATTGTCAATCGCAGCTTCCATCGCGCGTGTACCTCGCTCTCTCTCTCTCTCTCTCTCTCTCTCTCTCTCTCTCTCTTTCTCCTCGTCAATAACAACTCGTGCGGAAAATGCGGATTGGGGTTCACCACCACCCCACCAACCCCCCGTATCGTCCTACCAGATGTACCATGCTCGATGTTCTCGAGGATATGGCACGTGTGTTGAGGGTACCGACAGGAGACCTAACTTTACTGGAATCTGCAGGTGTGCATCGTAGTCTAGACTTGCAAGGCAAAATCAATGTACCTCGTAGGACGGTATGTGAACAAGCATCATAGTTAAGTGGTGGCAAATATTGCGGCCCATCGGCGCTACAAGTTGCGTAGGTAGGGTGCCAGAGAGGCGAAAGCGGAGGGGTTGGTTGAACGAAACTACTTGATGATCACGTTACTATGTCAAAAAATAGTTGCTGTAAGACAACTCTATAGAACTACAGCAGTAAAGCAATAGTAATACCTGAAGTAGCCAGAGAATTTTGATTGATCGGAGCATTTCCATTTTTTCTGTTCGGCATCCCGTGTCAATAGGTGCTCGTAGGCTTACTTCCCGGCGGCCCTGTTTCTTAGGTGCATGAAATCTGTCCGCTAATAAGAGCGATTTCTGACAAGCACCGACTTTCGTTCCGCAAGCATGCCGAATAACCAGCCTCTTTTCTTTCGCGTTTCACTTTCATCACGTAGGACTGGAGGCCGTAGACCTCACGCACACACTGTCGGAGTACCACGGCCACCATACTGCACCGTGCTCCTCTGTTTTCGCTGGAAAGCGCCACAAATGGCCTCACTACGCCAAGGGACAGCGGAAGGAGATCAACTTGAAGGTATCCCGACCAGGTCGATAGGCGTCAAGAAAATAGTTTACGTTAAGCTTTTGTCGGCGTGCCTTAAGTACATAGAGCGGGGCATTATTTCCTGAAAGGCGCACATGTCACAGAGGTCGAGGACGGACACATTCAATATTTTTTCCGAGCACGGGTAGATCTTTAGCTCTGTCAACTGAGTGTTACTAATAACTATGGCGTATTCCGACGTTGTTTTGTTATTATCGCGGCAGGTGAAGCACACTCCGGCACCGCATCAGCTAGTCACATGCACAGTGGAGGGGGGCAAAGGCCGCAACGTCCTTCGTCAGGCTATGGTTCGGCTGCCCAACACGGCAACGTTCGGGGAGCTTCTCGCATGCGCTCGAGAAAAACGACAGGGGGTCCTTGAGCTTGAAGGCCCTGTGTACGGGCGCGATGGTGAACTAGACACCACATTGCGGGATGGTTGGGTACGCAATAGCTGCAAGGTTGATGGAACGCTGCACATAGGCCTTGCGGTCGTCGTTTCGTTTCCTCGCGGAAGCCAGAGGCCGCTGTCTCTCACCATGGGGCCAGGCGCCACGATTGGCGACGTGAAACAGGTGAGATTACCGCGACTTGCTTTGAACACTTCGGAGCACTTCCAGTATCGCAGACGTTACGAGCGGTGTTTGTATCGATAGGGGATACTCATGCGGCAGGCGTAAAGTACCTTCTGAGATTGTCCTAGAAACCTTCGATATTTCAACAGGTCGTCCAAAGGCATGCACCAAGAGTACAGTCGACGCGTTGCTTGATCACCACCCATCTCACCTGTCCGTTGTCTTCCAACCTACGTTGTACAGAGGATATGTGTCGAACACGGCATTATCCCAAGCCGCCAAGGCTTGACGATCTGCGGAGGGGCGCAGCGACTAGGAGCTAACGTTACCCTCAAGGAATGCTGCGTATCGGGGGTTCCAGTGGGAGGGTTTTCATCGAAGGACTGGGGCGAGCTACGTCTTGAGCTACACGTTACGGAATGCCCCACGCGAAACAGCCTTCAGGCAGGAGCCAGCCGTTGATCACTCTCTTCTTTGACGTTACGTGAATCCGTGTCCACAGCATGTGTCACAATGTCCCTCTGGGAGCTTGTATAGACTCGCAGAGCCCAGTAAAACTGTGAATGCTTTTGGTAAAACCTGCGCTCCAATCGTGGACGTCTGCGAGACATGCTGTGTTTTGATCATGCGCTCGCAGCATCTTGAGGGGCGAACGGCCCTTCTCCGACCGGTTCGTACTCCCTCGTTAATACTGTAGCAGGTTGCAATGAAAATTTCGAGCCAAGGCTGGTCCGCCAGCGAGTTCAGATGCGCCGTTGGCGTCGGTCTTCCATCCCGAGGCACCGATGTACTACGGTCCCCCTCGCAGCCCTCTCACCTCACACCATCACCACCGGCAGCGGCCACCTACGTCCCACAAAACAACGAACATAGCTCCTTGACGACAGCGTCATCTTTGCTCCGCAGCGGCGCTAGCACGGTCGAGATTCGACCCGCCATCGAGCACGAAAGCGGTCCTTACTCAACCGTCATGTTTGCTCTAAGCCCGTCCGGCCGGGCGCTGACGCTGACCATGGCGCCGACCGCCACGGTCCTAGACGCCAAGACACAAGTGGCCGCCTTCGAAGGGGTGCCCCCCTGCCGGCAACGCCTCCTGTGGAGGGGGATCCTCATGGAGCCCGACGGCGTACTGCTGAAAAGGCTTGGAGCGCGGAGCGGCGACACGCTGATCGTGGGCTACCGCGTTGGCCCTTGCGCGCCACCCGAGGTGATGAGGCCGGTGGTCGAACTGGAAGGGAATGCCGCAGGTGACGACGACGCCCTAACCGCGGACGCGGCGATAAGCCCTACACATTCCGCGTCCCACCACCGACCGTGTGGAGCTCAACGGGGGACCGTGGACAGTAGCGGTAGCAGCAACATCGACGGGGATATTCCAGAACAGGGGACCTCGGGCGTCGAATCTGCAGCGACGGTCGCGGACGGAGACCAAAACAACGACGTCGTAGCCCCGGAAGGAGGTGGCGGCGACGGTGGTGGTGGTGGCAGCGGCATGGGCGTTGACGAGCCTGCGGGCGCCTGGGTCAACGTTGTCAGAAATGGCGGGGTCGACGTTGTCGACGGGGCTCAAAGAGGCAGCGGAAGCGGAGAAACAGAACATGACGGCAACGCAAGCGGCGCGACATCTTCTCCCCGATCTGAAGCTCGGCCGGGAAGCGAAAAATCGGGAGGGCGGCGAGCGTGGTGGGCAAAGAGGATGGCCACGCGGAGCTTGAAGGGAAGCCGGAGCTCCGACGAGCACGGCTGGGGTGCCACCGGCGCCGCTGCAGCTCTGCGTGGAGCGGTGGGTGCATCGTCGTTGTCGGCATCCAGCCCTTCCGCCAACTCTACCAACAACAGTGCGGACACGCGCCGTGTTCGTGTTTCCCCCGCACCGGCGGTACCCGTTCGCCAGAACGCCACCCACGGTGTCGGCAGGGCCGGGGGCCGCATCCTCCAAGGTATTGGGGCGGGGGATGCCAGTTCGATGTATGATTCTCCTCCTGCGAGCGCAGCGGCCAGGAGGCAGCAGCGACGCATACCGTCGGTCGGGAGACCGAAGTTGAAAGTCTGGGCGCGTTGGAAATATGGTCGCCGTGTGCCTACACCCCCCGTTCCGCCTGCCGGTGATGGTGGTGGAAGGGGGTGAAACTGGAGAACACATGACGGTCAACAACAGGCGGAGGTCTACGTCCATATGTCTTCCTAGCGCCTTCCGCGGGGGGATGGTTGATACCATCTGGAGGCCATCTCCGGATCATGAAGCCAGGGTTCTTACGCGGTCTCGTCCCCAACACAAAGCAGAATGACAGCTTGGGTTTGAGATTCGAATTTTTCTTGAGGAATACTGGAGGCTCACGGTACATCATAGTGTGAGCCGAAATTTGGGTTTGAGGGTGCCGATCAATGGGCATGTGCTCCGTCCTGAGCTGTCAGGAGAAGTTGACTGTCATTGTGAGTAACAGGATCGATCACTTGACCGGCCTTCTTCGAGGATGAACGGAAAATTCCGTAGGGGCACGATTGTCTAAACAGGGACGTTTAATACGATGCCTGCACGGAGGCAATGTAATTGTATGCACTGGGCGACTTGGGCGCCCCCCTGTGCTCCTGTCTTTTCACTGGGTTCCCTGTACTTTTTCGTTTTTGTTTTTGTGGTGTGGACTTCTTTGCTGCACTCGAACTATTTCCGCTCGGTTCCTTTCGTCAGCAAAATGTTCACGTGCTGGATAGCCATGCCGATATCAAGTTGATACGAACACCACAGCGTTGATGTTCGACGTGGCATCAACTGCGATTGGTGCCTGTTAATGTATTTTCCGACTATTTATAGCGGGGGTGTTGGAGCATTGCGCTTGTGACCAAGAGCACGTTATCGACGAATAAGCACAACAGCATCAAGTTATTCAGCCAACGAAATGCTTGCATAGCCAGCATGGTACCCCTCGTTCACACGTATAAACACTGGAACAAACGATCGAAGATGGAGTTCGTTTCGTGGTCTCCGATGCCACCTCTTTGTGAGCGTTCTCTCGGTGGCGGAACACGGGCGTATATTGCGACGGACGAAGTGGACGTGCCCAACAGATGGCAAACGCGCTTCAGCACGACAGTATCCTTACGACGGCACGTCATGCCACACGTTCAGAAACAATCATCGGGACAAGCACCCCCCCTTCAAGACCCCCGCACCGGTTGGAACTTTTCCAACTTTTCAATGCATGCAGTGAACTAGAAGAACACCTGGAATATCATGCTAGCTACATGCTCGCGTACGTACACGGATTTGGGCGTCCCCTGCGCGTCCTCCGCTTTTTTTTTGCGTTCCCTATTTTAGAACGCTGGCAGGACACTGACAGGTACGAAGGGTGCCCGTACACACGGTAAATCGATCTACAGGCGCATTTCGCAGATAGAACCATATTTCTGTCATGATGCTGGCGTTTCGTCGTCGTCTCTCGGAGTGGAGACTCTGTCCGATGACACACTTCTGATGGCCGTGTCCACATTTCCTTGGATGGAGTCGCGAGCGGTACTGGGGTAACAGTTTTGATTCGTCGAACCACGAACAGACGAAGGCAACGAAGCGGAAAAAGGTCGTCTGGTCAGTGCTTATTTTAACACGTGTTCATCTGCGAGAAAATAGCATACCACATTTGTCTTGTAGTTGTATACAACACGTGCTGTCGGTAGGTCACGATAATGATGATACAGCCTCCGCGTGAACCGAGTTCAGGTGGTTACCCTTCTACTAGCTGCTGGACCTCAGACTACACCCAAAACCAGCTTCCAAGAAGTCCAAGTAACCAAGACAGTCCGCAAAAGCCAGCTGCCATAATCTTTTCGAGAACGACCGAGGCAACACTTCGACGACACCCACCTTGACACTCCGGCTTCGACATCTGCCGCAGAACCGCTCTCGCCGGCAGCGCCTCCTCCCCCTGCCACGGCCTCGTCAGCGCTCCCGTTCTTGACAGCATCCGACTCGCCCTTGCTCCCGTCGTTTCGCCCCTCGGCGCGTTGGCCTCCACGACTCCCATTCCCTTGTCTAGACCCGTGTTCCTCTTCCTCTTCCTCTTCTTGGTTTCCGGACCGCTGAGGTTTCCGATCCATAGGTTCTCTCTGCTCCGCTTCGACCTTTGCCGCCCCCTCACCTGCCCCGCCGTGGCTTCTAACCCCCCCGCTCCCTGCCGCTGCTGTGCCCCCGCGACTGTCCTGGTGTTGTGAGCCGAGAGTAGAACCGGCACCGGTGCCCTTGCCATCGACGTCGATGCCCATAGCTCTGTCGGCCATGGTGGCGAAGAGCGCGCCGACGGCCTCGCCGGCCATGTTGTCGAGGGCGGCCTTGCATACCCGGTGCCGTCTGGCCTCGATGGCCTTGGCCTGCACCTTCCTCGCCTGTTCGCTGTCGTCCTCCAGCT